ACTGAACCATTGCACCGTCTTCCAAGCAGAGGTTATTGCAATCATGAAAAAGCCCAATTTACCACTACTACATACTCCCACAGTCAAGCTGCCATCAAATCTCTTCAATGCCACATCAAAAGCGGAGCTGGTAAGCTCATGAGTCGAGCCTGTACTGTCAGCCATTGGACCGTCTGAAAGTAGCAATCGTCCTGAAAGGCCCGGAGGGGAATTGTGTTTCCTCAGAACGACGCCAGATCACAAATCGTATCGATAGTGACTCCAGAAGCACCGAGGGCTTAGTTGGTTGAGGTTTTTGAGGTTATTATGTATTCACTTTATAGTGCGGACTGCGCACAAAGTAACTGACATTTGTTTTTGTTTTTGGAAAATGATTTGGCTGCTAAAGAATTGTACTCAAGAGAGGCCTGTGAAAATCGATTGTGCCAGTTTTTTCCCAAAAGAGATAGTGTTTTCTATGAGAGGTATATAATGACATTACTCAAGGAATGACAAAAAGTTGTCGACAAAACGTTGAACGTGTATATTTCACATAATCCGGATAAGCGGATCTCGGATAATTCTAACTATGGCCAACACAGCATTCAATTTACTGCAAAAATAATGGTTTACTTGGATTGGATTCGTCTTGGAAGACACTATAAAAGTTTGGTAGCCTTGACTGCCTTATCTCTAGTTGAACGGAGTGGACTGAAACCCCAATACTTCGTTGGTTTTAGAACCATTGAAGAGCTTTGCCTGCATATCTCAAAACTTTGCTCATCTCTTGCAGCTGAAAACAGCTTCTCGAAAGTCGGGCGCCGGATTACGTGGTCCTGATATTCAGCTGTCATCAAATACATACGTAGAAATGTATGCTTTTTATTTTTCTTTTCAAAGATATCAAAAATATATGAAGGAGCTCAGTTGCCCAAAAAATAAAGGATAATATTCCTTTTACTCGAAAACAAATGGCATAAGCTGTCTTTCGTGGAATTTGTCATTAAAATCTTGCCACGTTTGACAAATGTGAATTGAATAACAATTTTTTCTCGTTTTCTTATTTTCATTTCTTTTTTCGGAATATCCAATCAACAATCGCCCACTCACTACTGCCTTAGAGAGGACATTCAACCAAAAAATGATTTTAACCTAATGAACTTGTTTACTCGCTCACAAGCAGCCAAGTCATGCTGGACACAACAGAATGCGAGGTAAGAGCGCACATGTGCTCTCAATACAAATCAAAAGAACAACAACAATAAAAAAAAATCAAGTGACTTGCATAACAAGGCCAATATATCGATATGTAAGAGTAGTAGAGTAAGAGTAAGTATTTAAGTACAACCAAATATATTGATGGCATAGCAACATTTTTTATTTTCATTACAGCAAATCGGCAAATAAGAGACTGGGCACGAGCAGAGATCGTAAAAAAATGGCACATCATCAATGTCATTGAGCTGTAACAGGCAATACAAAGGGATACTTATAAGAGCATATGAGTTGTGGAGTGTGGAGAACATGAAAAAGGATATACAAATAACAGGTACTGAGAGCGAGCGAGGAAAAAAAATAAACGAGACACAGACAGGTAGCGAGCACAAACAAATCTGGTAATTCATCCATCATTGATTAAAAATCGCAGCAAAACAAGGCAAAACAAAACGAAATAAATGAAATAAAAATTAAAAAAAAATTGAAATACAAACCTGAGTAGCTAAAAAGAAATATCAAAAAAAAATCGCATGCGACAAAACAAATCAAATTTCATGAAAACTCGGAGGAAAAACGAATACCGACAGCACAAAGGACATGCACAAAGCTAACAACCGCAATGAGTCGCTGTTGTTTAGAAAAAGGTAGCAAAAAAAAAAGGAAATTGATTTGTCAAATGTAAACGGAGTTTTGATGACTAGAGTCAGATGGTTTCTATGTACGAGGGTTGCCATTTATAATTCCCGATAAAGGCAGAAAAAAAATCAATGAATATTTTTTTTTTATTTATTTTTTTTTCGAAATACTCTCCTTTACGTTCAATATACTTTTGCATACGTTTGAGCCAATTGCCGGAGCACTTTCGCCACTCCGATTGAGTTGTCTCCAAAACATGTTTTCTGAACGCATAAACCGTCTCTTCAAGTGTCGACAAACGTTGGCTTCTCAGTTTATTTTTTACGCAAACGAACAAAAAGAAGTCATTTTGTACCAAGTCATCTCTGAACGGCGGATGGGTCATCAAATCGATGTTTTGAGTGCTCAAATATGCGCTTACTTCAGTCAACGTGTGAGAGCTCGCATTGTCGTGGTGAAGAGTGATCCGCCGTCGGTGGCTAGTTTTCCTTATTTCTTATAAGACAACTGGCATAAATAGTTATATATGTTTTCTTGTATACGGTCCATTTTAAGACACCCAAAGAGTCAATCCACCAATCGACACGAGCCTTTTTTAAGCGTTTTAGAAATTGTGTGGAATCCCACGTTAAAAATTCACGAAATGCGTCTTGGAGTGATCCATGACCTAGATTGAACTCAGCATACTATTGATAAAAACTGCCCTTTGATGGAGCTTCATCGCCAAGTGGCTGAGTTAACCCAACTTGAAAGTTCTCAAAAATTATCGCTGTTACTTTTCTTCTTCTTGTTTATTACTGGCGTAGACAACATTTTCATAGCCGAATGTGCGATTCATTCCATGCTTTCACCAATTAAAAATATCAAGTGCAGCCAGGTCCTTCTCAACCTGGTCTTTCCAATGGAGTAGAGGCCTTCCTCTTCCGCTGCTTCTACCGGCGGGTATTGCTTTCAAAACTCCCAAAGCTGAAGTATTTGTATCCATCCGGATCCGCTGTTTCTTGATTCGCTGACCCATGTCAATGTCGCCGTATATCTCATTGTGCTCATCGTTCCATCGACTGCCAAGGGTATCATAAATCTTACGCAAAACCTTTCCTTTTTAATCTCCCAGCGCCGAATCACCAGTTGTTGTCATCGTTCATATCTGCGCACCACATAGAAGGACGGGAACGATGAGGGTTTTGTAGAGTTTGCTTTTCGTTCGCCGAGAGGACCTTACTTTTCTATTGTCTACTCAGTCTTAAGTAGTATCTGTTGGCAAGAGTGATTCGCGTTGGGTTATCAGGCTGTCATTGTTGTTGGTGTTGATGCTGGTTCCTAGATAGACGAAATTATCTACGATCTCGAGGTTATGACTGTCAACAGCGACGTGGCAGCGGAGTCGTGACTGGAGACCAGACCTAATCCTTGTCCAGTCTAAAGAACTATAGAACAATTTCTGTGGGCTGCCAGACTACTAAACTACGCTAGCCAAGTCCCGAAATATAAAAGTCAACCCTCGTACAAACCGCCGCCACAACATAAACACAATTACAGCATTGTATAACGGTGAAATACCGAAGCTACCACAAGCTCTCCCAAAAGCAAATCCGCGCAATCAAAATTGAAAACTTTGAAGTCTTTTACACGATTGATAAATAAAAACGTGGCGCATTGAATAAGAGAATATAGAGGAAAAGTAAAAATAAAATGTTAAAATCCAAAATACCCGCCAAATAATAGTCACACAAGAACCACGCTGGTGACCGCTGTAATAAAGCAGTCAAATGCAGGCGCCAGCCAACAACAAAACAGATGGCATAAACAACAAACATCAAGGACATTGAGTAGCCAATAACGAGGACAACGATTGGATGGTGGCAAGTGGCAGGCAAAAAGAGAGCGTAGAAAAAAGGCAAATTACATAACAAGGGAAAATTGGCAAAAATAAAAAAATATTACTCAATACGGAAAGCAGCTTTTTTTTACATTTCTACTTCTCTGGAATTCGCCACAAAAAGAAAGCGCACAATAAGTAAATGGCAATAAATTGAAAAAAAAGCCAGACAATGATGCTTACCGCATGACCTACAGGATGCCACAGAGCAACGAGTGGCATTGGCTCCTCAAAATAACATGGCTACAAAAAAGTTGGAGGAAATCAAATCAGTGGAGCGGCTCCCTAACCACATTTTAAATCAATCATTCCAGAGAATATCGCCCTCCCAGGTCAATTATATTTATATCAGTACGTGGTATGATTGTTCTTGATTTCACATAGCAGGTCGGCTTTAGACATTGGGAGACGGAAATTGCGCTGCTGAGGTAACGAAGAAACTATAATTGCTGTCATTTATTTAAGAATTCTTTTAACATTTTACCTTTTTTATAGATTAAAAAGAGAATTAAAAATACAAGTTCATGATGAATAAATCATTCAAATGTAGAACTAATGAAGGTAGTAATAACGGTTTGGTCAAACAATTCTTGGAGCATTATACCGCACGAAGGATGAGGCGGGTTCTGCTGACTGCCTTATGTATCACACTCGTCTAGATTGTGATCGAAGAGATCTTGCAAGTATGTGCGAATGTCGTAAGGGTCATCTTTTACAACCTGGAGGTGGCCGAATAATCTACATATACAAAGCACTGTGGGCACATATTATAATAAGGTTCTCTCCACATTATGGGAAATACATAAACAATCTTTCAGAAGTGGCATTGCAGTAAATCTTAAGAATTAAGGGAGGAAAGAAGCAATGAAATCATTAAAATTTGGTATAAAAATTTCATTGAAAAATCTTCTTGACTGACCATTTTCACCTCGATGGCCACGTCAATAATCAAAACTGTAACATCTGTGACCGTTTCTTAACGAGAAATCCAAACAGGTGCGAGTGGGAAACTATCAACGCCCCTGACCAGGGAGCCATAGACATCTTCATAGATGGCTCGAAGCCCACATTCTCCCATGCTTTAATTGAATTTGAACGTGAGACTACCAGACCACTGTAGCGTTTTCCAGACGGAAGTCTTTTTAATCATGAAGGCCGCTGATTGGTTGCATAAATCTATGGCAGCAGGACAATCGGTTACAATATATTCCGAAAGTCAAGCTGTAATCAGATCTCTCCAATGTAATGGCACCACGTCGAAAGTGGTCATAAAATATAGGAACTTTTTCTACAAACTCTCAACTAAATGTAGCACTGCCATTGTCTGGGAACCTGGACACAGGGACTTCCCAGGCAACTGCATGCTGGACGAACTAGCAAATGATGCTGGCTTACCTCTGTCTACGGCAAAGTACATGCTCAAACTGTTTTTTACCAGAGAAGCTGACTCAGGATGGTTGTACGAGATTGCGTGTAACGTGACCAAATAGCTATGGCCGAAGCCGGACGCGAAAATATCAAAACATCTTATTCTTCTATACCGGTTATCCATTAGCATAGCGACGGGCTTAATAACTGGATACTGTTTAATGAGGCTTCACGGAAAAAGAATGAGATATCATTCTAATGATTTCTGCCGCAGCTGCAGGGATGAAGAAGAGGAGGAGAGGGGCGAGCACTACTTCTGCCACAGCCTTGACATCACCGCGATACAAGTTTTTTGGGAAACATTTCTTCGATTGTCTCGATTAGTCCTCAAGGAGTAAATTTTTGGTGTGGTTTACGGTCTGCCGTGGTCATTGGACCTTACTTTTTCAAATAAGAATGTATTGCGCTACCGAGAGATAATTAATGATTTTCTATGACTGGATTTGGCAATTGAACAAGCCGGCGCTATGAGCCACACAAGCACCGAAACCACCGATCTTTGGCAAATTTCAGTTACTTTGGTAATCTTCTATGAGCACTGCAGACTACCCCTTTATACTCCTTTCCTTTCAATTCTTAAGTTACCAATTTTGTTCAGTGGGGTCGCAATAGCAGAGGGGTTAGCCTTGCATTCGAGTCCTGGTTTGACCAACATCCAAAACTATAAAAAAAAATTATTTTTCTCAACGCGGTCGCCACTTCGCAGGAAATGTCAAGCCCTCCGAGTGTTTTTCTAACATTAAAACACTAGCACCAGGGTGATTGGATGATATTCGACAGCTCGCATTATTGCATGCTTAGATGTGCTCCAGCACCAGGCCTGCTGAAAAACGGCAGTCCTTAAGTGGTGTAAGTTTGACTTACAAAAGTACTGGAGTACCCCCTGGATGCACAACTTTTGAAGAGCCAAAGAGCTCAATAAATTCTCACCGTAACAGATGAGATGGTCTACCCGCACCATATCCAATATCTCACCCGGAGCTCACCCCTGAGCTACACCCAATAAATACATTGTGTAAAGACCTCTAACTTTTTCCTATAGAGTTCACACCCGAACTCCATTAAGAACCAAACATTTAAGTGTATTATTTAACATCCCCTTCCCCACTCCTAACATTCTCTCCCTCCTGCCGCCCAAAAATTAGACAGTTCCTCATAAAAATCCATCTAGCAAAGAAGTAACAACTAGTAAAGTGTCTTATGTGGAAGGGGCGAAATTCTGTACTCTACCCTCTGCAAAGCTTAGCAGATTCAGCGGACAGTGACCTTTTCCCGTAAGATTGCTTACATCTATGAGAATGTCTTACTATCATCTACCAGAACATCAACTTGGACGTGCAGTCCGAAAGCGGGAAGGATTTAATTACAACTGCTTAGAGTATAAACAAGTCCAATAGTTCGTTCCTTTTTCCGAACTGGACGTATAGATGAGTTTTTTTTTATTAACAAGTGATCGCTAAATGGTGCATTTTTTTCCCATCTGCTCTGCAAAGACGCTGTAAAAGAGTAATTGGAGAAAGAGCTCCGGAGAATAGTGAAATCTATGAAACTAAAATGTATATAAAAGCTTTTTCAGAAGTGGCATTGCTGTAAAGCTTAAAAAGATGTTATCAACAAACAAGAGAAAAAGTACTTCTCTCTCGGTTACATCTCACAAATTCTCAAACTGGGAGGCACATAAATAGGCATGACAATGAGTCTTTGACTTTACCAATTATTCACTGACGAAAAGCTCTTGGCAGTTTCTCTTGCATTAAATATAGCAAAAAAGGAAAGTATGAATACCACTGGGGAGGCACTGGTGTATGGATACACCAAATTTTAGTATTGCTCCGCTCTCTCACTCTTTCTCCTAACTTTAGCGCTGAATATACACACTGTGCTTTCGAAGGCAGTTCTTTATTTCCTAGAACGGCCTCTCAAAACAATAAAAGTGGATCGAGCTTTGAGAAGGATGCAGTAATCTTTTTCAAATTGGTAAGAAGTTTGATGGCAAATTTACCAGTTGAGCCTCGAATTCTATGCGCTCAATAAATCAGAGTTGCAAATGTTCAGACCGGTGCACAATAGCTTTCAGGTCGGAAGCTAAAGAAGAGAAGTACCAAGAGAGGTAACAACTTATTGAGATTTTCGTCGGGGAGATCAATGTTTGAGCATATTAACGGTCACTTATGGTATAATCAAAAAATGCCTTAGGAATATCTCGATCTGATTCATTCGTTTTATACTCTCTTTGCTTCTATTGGGCGAAGCACTGCGACGCGTGAAGTGGATACGACTAAGCTTGAGCTGTGAAGATCGAAGCGATTTCTCGCTCTTTGATGGACATTATTCACACTTTCGGTGGATAGTCTGACTTTACATATCGCTAAAGCTCATCGGTTTTCCCAACTTAATGTCGATCTTACGATTTTCTTCAAACGTAACTACCTTACGATACTTACCAATAGCAGAGTCATTGTTATTGAAAATTAACCAAAAAAATTTAAATATATAATTTTTAAGTGGCTCTTCACAGAGCAGCAGCAGACATTCACTTCCTTTTTAAATTTTAATTAAATCACAAATTAATTATTAACACTTGAAGGAAATACCACAATTTCGCTCCCTCTCTCTCTCTCTCTTTTTTTTTTTTTTGCACTTTTTTCCTTTGTTGCACCTTCCAAAGAACTAAGCCGCCAATAACTAGCAAACGAGATAGAAATCTTTAATAGATTTCCGCTTCATTACACTGAATAACGTTTCTATGAAACGCTGCGGCAAACATGAAAACCGCCATTGTGTTGTAGTGTGAGCTGAGTGGGGCAGCAGCATATCCGTGCACTTCTATACAGGAGTATGTAAAGTAGAAAATTCTTTGAAGATAATAATCGTAGGTGGAAACTAGAAAACACTTCCTATATGTAACGGGTAGAAGACTAACGGTTGAAAAGAAAGGCGGAAACATAAAAGGCGCAAAATCGATCGATGAAAGCTTTCATCTGGCCGCCAATGAAATAGGTGAAAGCGAAGAAGCAAGGTGTTGTGTGCTCGCTATCGCCACTTGGCATTAGAAGGTGGGCCACTTAATTAAAATCATACACACTGCGCCATTATGAGCCATAATTTTGTGCAATATATTCGGTGGGGATTAGTTGAGTGGGGGGATTAACGAAGGTGCGTTGCTTGAGGTTTACCAAAATTTTGACTTGAAAAAAATTCAAGCACGACCTTAGTAAGCTCTTTAAAAATTCAGACACTCAATCTAAGAAAAAGGAGAAAGATCAAATGGTGGTTTAGAATGGGAAGACCATTTCACTTTGGTAACTGGATTGTGGCTTGTTTTTCACGTAGGAATACCCAGACTTTTTTGTAATCGGCGCAACCGTTAATGTGTGTAGAGCCACTCTAATCCTTTGTACGGTTAGAATACCCGTCAGTTACAAGATCTTTCAAGTAGCATATTCTCTCTTTTTGTTTTTGTAGCACCAATATCAATCCACAAAATAGGTTTTGTTCTTGGCAGAATCAAAATGCGAGTCGTTCCGGTATAGAGACCCAACAGTCGCGGAAACTTTTGTATTTTAGACGCTTCGTACGATAGGCTTGCTTTACCGCTGGAAAACTCTTGAACCGCCATTCCGCAGTGGTACCATTTTTTTCTTCTTCAAAGTACTTTCTTTATACAAAGGAAGATGTGATGAGAGGAGACGTCCTGGCCGGATAGACTAAGAGGTATTTGACTGGAAGTCTATTTCGAGCAAGATATCCGTCTCCTCTCACATTTTTTTGTAGAATCACAGAACAGGTTTGGAGTTCGTGACACACTTGCGTTGTAGGTGGAGGAATTGGTAAATCCCAGAATTTTGGATCTGCGTCTATTGTGTGATGATGCCTGCCTCGGACAAAGATCTGAGATCGTAATATGGTACCGGCAAAGTTTGCTCAAAATTTTTTTCTGAGCTTAGGACGAAGGTTTTGAGAAGCTCAAAATGCAATGTATTTGTGAATATGCCATCTGGCTTCCCTCAGCATTTAACATCCAATGCTTTCGGAGACTCCCCGATACTGTAAAAAAGTTCTTTGAGAGCTAAGGCGGTTGGTATACATAGGACTCGCACAAAAAGAGTGAAGGCCACCAGAACTTGGGAGTCGCCAATGTTTCCAAAGAAAAATGCTAATCCAAATCTGGAAGGCAGTCGTTCTTTGCAGCCTTCGATCTAGTAAATTAGAAATCGTATCCAATTTTGAAATCTTGAGAGCTACGGACAGCGTGGATTACGGAAGGAAGAGTAAAGATTTCCTACTCTAGTAGCCGACTTACAGCAGGATTTGATGGAGGATTAGGGCCCTTCGACGTTTAGCAACTACACTCTAAGCTCTAAGAAAGACAGCATCTATTGCTTCTATAGAAGCCATAGAAAAAACTCAAGGCGATTTGGGAAGAAAGTAAAGAGCTCCTTTTCTTGTGGCCGGGTTTTCTATCAATATTTAAGAATAAGAAAGTCTTACACCGAAAGTCCTCCGATTATCTTAAGAAGCCTCCTTGCATCAGTGGGTGATCAACGGCGATCAATAGGACCCTCATTCGCCCCCTTGGGCAGTCATCATCCTAGTCTCGTTCATACAATTTTCGACTTCAGTTCGAACTTTCATTTGCCCTTCTGAGCAAATAAGCTCTCAATTGGTGTCACCCCACAACTAGCCCATATTGTTTGCAGATTTGAAATGAAACCCAAACCCTCTTGCGCTCTTACCACAAAATCTAATCAAAACTTACCTGGCATAATAAGCAGCCGCGGCCATCGCCTGCGCCGTCTCAAAACGCACTTCAATCTTACCATGTCGATATGGTAGTTTGGCCGTGCCGTCCTCTTCCAGGACGAGTACATCCTGAAATTCGCCGGTGTCCTCTTCAAAAACAATTGGCAAGGCGGTGGGTCGCGGATGATGGTGTGTGTTGTTGCTGTTGTTGCCACCAATGCCAATTTGGTTAGTTGTATTATTATTAGATGTTGTTGTATTTGCAGCCTTGTTGTTGTTCTTGGCGCTGTTGTGCGCCATTAATGAGGTAGCATACGAATGCAGTAAACCGGCTTGTTGCAACAACAACTCCACAGAGCTATCAGACACATCAATGGCTGCGGATGAGACGCACGGCGGGTTGAGCTCGGCTATTGCGCCGGCATGCGCCGTTGCTTTCGTTGTGGACATGGTGGCGGTTAATGCGATTGCCGATTGGGCTATCATAATTTCTGGAGCCTTTGTGACCGACGGGCCGGCACCCGTTTGTTGGCCAACAAAGCTGGTATTAGCAAAGTGTTGTTGTTGATGGGGCTTTTGTGCATTGTGCTGGTCCGCATGGGCACCCAAAGGATGCTCGCGTATTTGTGTGTTATTTGGACGTTGTTGTAGTTGTTGTTGCTGCTGGTGCTTTTGTTCCGTATGCGAACGCTGAGTTGGTGTCTTTGTCGCATGCGACTGCTGTTGTTGTTGTGTTTGTTGTTGTTGTTGCTCACGCAACTGCTGATAGAGGTAAGGACGCTGCTCGCCATCTGCTTTGGTGCGTTGCTGGGGATTATATTGTTGTTGTTGCTGCAGCAGCTTTTGTTCTGCCTGCTTCCGACCCGCAGCAGCTGGTGGCGCCACATATGCTGGCGGTTGCATCGGCAACAATTTACTATTGAGCTTTCCACTGCCATCGCCCAACTGAACGGCATTCAATTTGCTGGGATTCGCGTTTGTTGCTGCTGCTGTTGTTGTCATACGCTTATTACCACCAGCCAACTTTGTGGCGGCGACCAAACGTTTTCTCAGCTGTCTCGAAGGTGGTAATGGTGGCGCTACATCGTCGCCGCCACCGCTCATATTCTTCGGTGGTGGCATCGGTGGCCGCTCCTTAATTGTTTCGTAGACATGATTGAAAGGCGCTGGCGGGGGTGGTGGATTCGCCGTCGAGGTAGTATCTCCATCCGATTGCAGGAGAAAATGTTTTCGACTATCGACGGGTTCAACGTAGGCATCGGAGAACTGAAAATGTTGCTGATATGATCCATAGCTGCGGCACTTCGAAGGAGCCGCGGAGTCAGCTGAATTCAGAGCTGGTAGTGGTGGCGCCGCTATTGGTGGTGGGGGCAATTTTAGGAAGTGTACGGGTTTTTGTGCAACATGTTGCTTGTTGGCGCCATGTATGGGCACGAAAGTTGCCAACATGTTGGTCTCGGTCTCCGGTGCGGAGTACTGCAAGCTGGGGGCATGCAGTTCGGACGACATTTGATGCGCTCCGGCTGATAAAAAATGTCTCGGCGATGTATGTTGAGTTTGTTGCAGCTGCTTATGTTGTTGTTGTTGACACGCTGAGTTACTTGCAAAATCCAGCTCCACCTTCTCACCCATTTGACGTGCGACCAAGAAACGCTGCTGCTGCTGTAGATGATGTCTCTGCGGCAAATGCGGCTGTTGCTGCTGGACTTTCTGTGCGTGTTGTTGTTGCTGTTTCTGTTGCTGTTGCACTTTTTGTGCGTGTTGTTGTTGCTGTTGCTGCAATCTCTCGTGGCTCTGCTCGCCCCGAAAAGTCGTCTGACTCAAGAGATGTCGCTCGTAAATATCGTTCAATAGATTTGTAGCGGTTTTGGATATTTGATTAAAATTGTGTTGTTGTTGTGGTTGTGGTTGTTGCTGTTGCTGTTGCACTGTTATACGACTGATCGGCTTTGTCGGCGACAAATCACGTTGCATGTCACCATTGGTATTGATTTGTTGTTGCATTCTCATATGGCCATGGTTGCTATCGGTGGCTGCCGCTCCTGCAGCTGCTGCTGTTGTTGTTGTTGCTTCAGCGGCCGCCAATGATTGCGGCATTGCCACCGCAATTGATGATTGCTTCGTTGCAGTATTGAGTGCCGTAAGTTGTTGTTGCTGCTGATAGTTTGCTGATTGTCGCTGCAATTGCTGTTGTTGTTGTTGTTGTTGTTGTTGTTCACTCCAATTACGACTCGATTTTGGGTGCTTTGGTGCGGCACTCGTGTTTTCATTGCCGTTCGATTGCTGTTGCTGGTGTTGTTGTTGCTGTTGCTGCTGCAATTGTTGTTGTAATTTACGTTGTTGCTGATACTGATGAAAGCTCTGTCGTTGCTGTGGACCAACGCCACCCCCACCACCGCCAGTTGCTGTCGCTTTTGCCTGGACTTCTCTTCTAGTGGCCGAGCCATTGTGTCGTGGTCGATGCACGGAGGCCTGAGAGAGAAAGAAATTCGTTAAATTTTAGGAAGATTTGTGTAAAAAAAGAAAGAATGAGAAATGAAGTTATAAAGTTGATACTCCAAAGTATGTTTGACGGAATCTGCAACAACCAGCAACTCTCATACGAAACTCTCTGGGCCTGCCGAGCTTAAGACCCACAGATAGAGAGTACCGGTCAACAGTAATAAACTATACAATAAGCTCTCTCTCTCTCTCTCTCTCTATCTTCGATGTTTTAGAGTTTTCATTTAAAAAATAACAATAACAACAAATCCTGTCGCTACGATGGAGGTCCTATTGACGCGAGAAGCACGACTTTTTACGGTTCTCTGGAAAAATAGCAGGCAATTTCTTCACGGGTGAGTCTAAGCCCTACGAAAAGATTGATCCACTCGAAAGTGTACGACCAAAGGCACAGTACAGAAGAAATCTTCTGAAATTTTTAGACGGGAATAATCTTCAACCCGAGAACAGAACAGAACCCATATCTGTATTCTTTCGGAAGTTCTTCAGATTCAGTCTCAAAAGCTTGTTGAGAGTCCAAAGAGAAGTTGTTTGCAGGAAGAATGATTCCTTAAAGGTTCAACTGAAGAGGAAATTCGCCTATCCCATGTCGGTTCTAAACCAGCCCCATTTTACTATAAGTCATAGACACACGGCTTGCTCGCATGAAGCTTGTCGGTACAGTTTTTGAAGAGCAGAAGGAATGAAATCAGAGGATTTTTCAATCCATAATTTTTCTATATCGAGGCGAACCTGAGTAGTGGTCTTCCAAAAAGTAGTTTAGGCGAAAAGCTTGGCGTCACGAAAGTTCCAAGAAACACTAGGATCCATTGCATGGGATCCATAATTTCTTTCAAATGCTAAAATGCTTGAAAAATCCTGAAAATTCAATACTCTTCTTTTGCCTTCACTAGGAATTTGAGGTTAAGTACGAAGCATCTAAGCCAGTCGAGGTATTGTACCAATGCACCTGTCGCTTCTTGTCGGGCGATACGTTTGTCCACAAATCAAGTATTTGGATCTATTAGCTCCTCCCTCCCTTACCAATTTCTCCGCCTCCCTTCTCAAATTTAAGACTTTAGCTCATCCAAAGATGTCATGCATGAAATCCCATTAAAGTTTATTATGTAAATCACATGAATTTCTATGTTTACACGCTTCACAGTTGTTTCGCTCCCGAAATACGAATTTAGTACAGTTAAAATTCTCATTTTACGACAACACGTCTCATCAATTTAAAAAGCGAACACGAACGAAAATCGTCGAACAGCAACAGAAGCAGCAGACACAATTAAATCATTAAATCGTCAAGTAAGATGCACCGACATGCCGTAAATGGATGGACAGACGGGCGGATGGATGGCTGGAGACAAATTGTAGAAATGATGACAATGATGAAGCGGAAATCGAGCGATGAAAATAGCTGCAACACGAGCTAAAATTGGAGCAATAAAAGAGAGCACACGGCCACGCACAAACACATGTCTGCATTTATAGGCACAGCTACACTTGAAAGCCACTGTAAACAATCACATACAGATGTATGTACTCGTATGTATGTAAGTGATACCGCGAGCTTACATGCGACATGTGCGTGTGTTTGGAATTTGGATTTTTATTACAAGTGTAGCATACTTATGCGTTTGGTTGCATGCCACACGCTACACATGCCGCACAACATACGTTACATACCACATTGACATCGTAAAATTTACTAACAAAATAAAAATGAAAAGGCAAAAAAAGCAAAATACCTCATAACAATAACAAAAAAAAGAACAAATACTAGAATAATTGTCGTTGCTATCAAAATAAGGAATTCCATCAAAATCATGAGCGGCAACCAACGAGTGAAGAGAATACCAGAAACCAAAAACCAACAAATCACACAATGTCCCGATGTATATTTGTCAGTCGTTACCCTCTAGTGAAAAGTTTGACAAGTGTAAGTTATGAACAGAATAAAAAAAATAAAATGAAATTAGATAAAAATAAAATTAAATAAAAATAATTTAATTAAATTAAATAAAAATAATTTAATTAAAATAAATTAAAATATGATAAATAAAAATAGAAAAAAATAATATTATTTTAAATTAAATTTAAAAATATTAAATAAAATTATATAAAACAAAATAAAAATAAATAAATTAATGTAAAATAATATAAAATAAATTAAATTAAAACAAAAAAATAAAATAAATCAATATTATATAAAATAAAACAAAATAAAACTAAATCAAAATGAATTCAAATAAATTATAAAAAGAAAATTAAATTAAATTAAAATAAAAGAAAATGTCACAAACCAAAATAAAAATAAATTAATTAATATAAAATAGAATAAAACAAAGTAAAATACAACAATATAAAATAAAAATTAAAATAAAAAAAGATAATAAAGTCAAATAATATAAAACAATTTAAATTAAAATAAAATGAAATTAAATTAAATAGAAAAAGTAATTAAAATATATAAAACAAATTAAAATAAAATTTAAAAAAAATGAAATAAAACAATATAAAATAAAACAAAACAAAGTTAATTGAAAATAAATTCAATTAAAATAAAATAAATTATAAAAAATTAAATAAAATAAAATAAAGTAAAATAAAAAATAAAAATAAAAAAAAATAAAGTAATTTATAAANATAAAAAAATAAAATAAAATAAAATAAAATAAAAAATAAAATAAAATAAAATGAAATAAAATAAAATAAAATAAAATAAAATAAAATAAAATAAAATAAAATAAAATAAAATAAAATAAAATAAAATAAAGTATAAAAATAAACAAAATTCAATTATATCAAAATAAAAGAAAATGAAAAATAAGATAACAAAATAAATTCAAATTAAATAAAATAAATTTAATTAAAATAAAATGAAATTAAATTAAATTGAAAAAATAAATAAAATTATATAAAACAAAATAAAAGAAAATAAAGAGAAATTTAATAATATAAAATAAAATTCAGTAAAATAAAAAAAAAAAATTAAAATGAACTAAAGCAAAATTAAATCAATATAAAAGAAATTGTAATAAAATAAAATAAATTTCAATTTAATAAATTGAATATAATAAAATATATATAAAATAAATATAAAATAAAGTACAAAAATTATATAAAATTAAATTAAATAAAATAATGCGAAAGAATAATAAAATATAATACAAATAAAATGGATTTAAAAAGATTGAAATAAAATCAAATATTGTAAAAAATAAATAAATATAAAATATTATATGGTCGCATTAAGTGATATAACATAATAAAATAAAACAAAACTAGTAAAAGATGAGACAAAAAAAATAAAAGAATAAAGTAATATAAAAAACTGGGAAAAATAGAATAAAATATACTAGAAAAGTTATAAGCTGAAATAAAATTAAATTAAATTGTATTAAATTATATTAAATTAAATTAAATTAAAAAAACTATATAAAATCAAAATGAAATATGGAAGAAAAAAATAAAATAAAAGAGAATAAATAAAATAAAACGAAATAGTAAAATTATATATAGCAATAAAATAAGAAAACATAATGAGAAAAATTAGAATAAAATTAAATAAAATTGGATAAAAAATAACGCATAATAAAATAAATTTAAAAAAAAAATTAATCAAATTAAACACAAATCAGTACATAAAATAGGTATAAAAAATTAAATAATATAAAAAAATATCATAGTTTTACCCTAGAGACAACTTAGAGGCTTTTCACTACAGGGATAGCATAAATCAAAACGAACAAAAACAAAAAATTAAAGGAAAAACAGGCACTTGTAATGCGCTGAAACTCCTTAGCGTGTATGAAATGCAGAGTGAGTTTTTCCACTAATATTTTTAAGTTCTCTGCTGCTGTTGGTTTCGTTTTAGAGTTGCGGCGAATGTGTGACATGTGGTTACGTGCCACACAAAGTTGTAAAAGTAGCAACTCATTGAATAAAGTGGCGGTATTTGGTTGTACATATTTATTATTTTTAATTTCAACTACTTTTACACATATTTCTTTATTATTTCGGTTTCGTGTTTTGCTTTTATTTTATTTCTTTTTTCTCTTTTGACGAAAAATCTTAAAAATATTTAATTTGAATACAAAATATTATTTATTTTACTACTTACAAAAACTGGTGCCTCATTTGCTGAGGAATCTCCATCACTGCATCTGGAAAAAAAATGAAAATTTTTTTATTCACTAGTAGTTGATTGAAAAATATATACAATAAAAACACCATGGATGTATTACAACCCATGTGAGACCCAATTGCTGAGCCTGCATAACCCATGTACAACAAAAATTAAAAATAAATTTAAATTTGGGCATAAAAAGCTCACAAGTGCCAGTAGAGGGCGCAAGCATAAGCTTTATGAACACTTATTCAAATTTCGAATAGTCAAGACACACACCGAAGTTTTATCAAATGCTGCCAGACAAGGTACAAAAATATATTCGAAGAAATACACAAGGTTTTCAAACTTTTTGTGCATGAACGAATTTGTTAAAATATAGCTCTCAAAGTGTGTAGAATACCTTTTCGACTTCGAACTTTCGGTGCTTTACTCCGAAAGTGCTTGAAACTTTGCAAAAGTGAGAATACTAGAACATTTGAGAACACTTCAGAACTAATACAAAATCACTGATCTGGGTAAAAATACGTAATGCTGAAAAACTAATTCAATAATATTATGTATGTTATTCAAATAAAATGATAATGTTAAAAATTCGTCCAACATAATAAAAAGATGTTGTTTTTTTTACCATCAGAAAAGAGCGATAAAAATATAGTAATAAGTAAGTATTCACTTTTGTTGTATTTCATTTAAAATATTAATAATATATAACAAGTAAATAGACTACCAATAGACTTACCGTCCACTAGTTTTCCGATTCCTCGCCGCCTTCGTACGCTGCAACATCTTCACATTTGCTTTTCGCCTCCTTCACTGTTATCTAATGCATAATTATGCAAATGGAATGAAATCCCTTAGAGGATGAGGTGGTCGTAAAATCCAAATGAGCTACTCAGATCTCACGATCTAATTTATGTTAAATAAATTTTCATCCAAATTTACCGCATGATTTTTCTATAAAATAAAATAAAAAGAAATTAATAAATATTTCATGAGCGGAATGACGATTTCCAAAGGAATTTACAAATAGGTAAGAGATAAAAATAACGATGCGCGAAAAAAAATTGTAAGGGAAAAGTACATACAAACGCACTTACATATATACATATCATTTTAAAGTCAGTTGGTATAATATCTCTTAATTAAAATGAAAAATGCATGTCACACCTAAAACGAGTTTGATTTGTTACGGCGATAAAGCGACAGAAATAAAAGATCAAAAGGGAACCAAATGTGTTGAGATGTTTCCATAAGAGCAAATGTCTACCAAAAAGTTCAGAGTCAAAGATAGGCAGATTTGTATTCAAATCAAAAGCATTTTTAATTGAATTAATTAATTTTTTTTTTTACTTTGGTGAATTTTATCTCATATATTTTTTAAATTAAATTTAATTTCATTTAATAAAATTTAATTTTAATTAATTTAGTTTTATTTTTCAATTATTTTATTTTATTAAATTATTTTTATTTTATTTTCACTTTTTTATTTAATTTTTTTCTCTTTTTTCATATTATTTTATTTTGTTTTTCTTTTCTTTTTCTTATTTCAATTTATATTTTTTTTATTTCATTTTAATTTTACTTTAATTTCATTTTAATTTTGTTTTTTAATTTATTTTTTTTTATTTATTTTATTGTATTTTATTTTAAATTTATTTTATTTTATTTTATTTTATTTTATTTTATTTTATTTTATTTTATTTTATTTTATTTTATTTTATTTTATTTTATT